GCGATATAATGCACTGGAGGCGAGGTGAATGCACGCAGTACTACGCATGCGTATATAGCGCAGCTGTTATATGCGCATGCGCCCGTAAATATTTAAGGCACAATATTATAAAGATAGATAAACTTCAATATAGGGGAATAAAAAAAAATAACCGAAGATTATTGGATTTATAGGACACTTTTTAGTAAATTTCCTTTTTGAGACCTTCATTTCAAGGCATACAATATCAGAGAGAAGAAATGAATCAAGAAGCCATTGTTCTTTAATCCTAGAAAAAAAACTAAACATTTCGAATTTTTATGTACATCTTTGGTATTCCTTCAGAACTTGGGCACTCATGGCTCTCCACAACTTTCTGTCTCTTGTAACTTTTTCGGAATACTGAACTTATACTTTTTATTACTTTTGTTGTAGCTACAACATCTTGGTTAGGTACTTCTTTGTTTATATATTTCGGGACGTGGGCGATCATGCTTCTCCACTACTTCCTCTTTTCTGTTGCCCTAAATAAATTGCATAGGTTCAAGCTCAAATACCAAACAAGCTCCGTCATTAAAAGGTTAAAACTGAATGTTTTCACATATGTTTGAATATGTTAGCGGCAGTAAATGTAAGAGTTACTGCGTATGTGGGGATATAATAAGGTTTGAAGTTTTAAAAATGTCGGATTAGAAATAAAATCAATTAATTCTTTAGAATTGCTTTGTTCCCTTTTCGGAATCGAAACTAAGCAGCTATGGGCTTTCTAAAAAAATATCTTAGCGAGAAAGTGCGCTTTCCTTAAAAATGGATAACAGTGTCTCGCTGCACGGCGACGCTCTTTATACCTTTTTTTTGTAAAGGTCATCACATCAAACCATAATTTCTCCCTACAGAGTAAGACGCAGGTTCGATTCCTGCCGAAGAGCAAGTAGTCTTTATAAAAATTTCTCAAATGCGCAGGCCGATAGACGTAAATAATAGTTTGAAGCAAACACGCGGTTTGTAATTTAAATACGAATATTTTTTTTTTATCGCTTTTCTCCGAACAAGGTGATAATGCCACTAAAATGTAAGGAGTTACTGGTAGTGAAAGAGAATGAGAGACCTTTACGAAAAGCAACCGGAAACCCAATCCTAAATACGAAACAAGGAATAAACCTCTACTCTTATTCAATAGACGGTGAAAGAATGTGAACTGGGCGATAAACGAACTTATCTACTACGACTATAGTTCGTTTAAAGTAATAAAAATTTCGAGTTAAAAATAAACTTCATTAATTCTTTAGAATATATAACAATGTTTATCGATGTATATGTCAAGACGAGCTGAAAAATTCTATTCCCGAACCACTTGGTAAAAAAATCTGATCTAATATCAGAGTTTTTCTTAATCCTTTCTTGGTCGAAGCGAGAACTTTTTTTTATCAGCGTTTCGGAATTATGATAACTGTGTATGCGTATATTTAGCGCGTGTAAATATGTAGCTAATTGTGTTTTGTCTGAAATCAATATGTACGATAGTCCAAAATATAAACGAACGCATCTTTTGTCTGGAAGTTTAAAAATACAAACCCTACAACAGTGTAAGTTCGTTGATAAGAAGGACAGACTGTCGCTCTGTATTATTAACAAACTGCAGAGGAACGTAAATAGGAAAATGCTGACCTTTGGTTGACCCAAAGCTATAAATAAAAGTAACCTTTTAATAGGAAAGTCATTAAATGCCCTACACCCCGCAAAAAAAAAGCCGTTTAATTAGTAACTATGAATTATTCATATTCTTGTTAACAACTGACAAGCCCTAAAACTGGACGCGTGTGCTGGAAACAAAAGATTGTACCGGGAGGCGATGATGAAAGAAATGCTATAAAAGGAAGATTTGAATTAGAGGCGTCCAAATCAATGGTAAAAGGTTAGGGTTAGGTTTCGACGTTTCCTTATAGGGAAAGATCAGGCATTCATTGACTGTTGTCAGTTGAAATTTATAAAATCTTTCAATTAAAACAATATTCAGGAAAATATATTTTTTATAGTGATGTTCACTCTGTATAAAACCCGGGAGTCAATCGAGTTAGATGGTTACAGAATAAGATGCATAGTTTATGCGGATATGTGAGGAAGATAACGGTTTAATTTTAGACTTGAACAAGACAAGACTGTCGTGGATCTGGAAAGTACCCTCTTGGGAGTTGGTTTCATAGGGCAATGGTTCGTGGGAAGAAGCTGCTCGTGGAAATTACATCTCACAAATGGAATACGAAAGAAATAAGTGTGATTTGTTACAATGTGGGTAGCATGGCGGGTTTTAGCCGTGAAGGTTAGAAATGGTAAAATTAAGTAATGTAGTTCGTCTGAACATTTGCCATGGAAATAGCGATAGAACAATGGGAGGCTTGTGACGTTTCGTCTGTAGGAAATGTGTTGTGGGGTGGAGAATAATTCGTCACCCACAAAGACGCCGAGACGCGTTTGACTATCGAGACCGGAAAGTGAAGACTGTGCAGCTTCTGCCCTATGTGGCAACAGTACTCCATTTTCAGCCCGATCTGGTTCTTGCAATGGTAGAGCACATGGAGCAAGGTATTAATTTGTGCGGTACAGGAAACTGACCATTCTTCTTGCATCTTTAGTGATGGGTCGTATGTAAGTGCTCCATTTGGCGTATGGATTGAGTTTCAAACCCAGTAAGACCAAGAGACATGGGGACTTCCCTAGGGAACATCCATTCATTATGAATGATGACAGTTCGGAGTCAGACCGGCGGCGATAGAATGTAACTAGTTCGGTTTTCGATGCATTGAATGTAACCAGCCAGTCTTTCCCCTACTGAGCCGTTAGAGCTAGATCAGAGGAGAGATCAGATGCCATTTTCTGCTCATGGGGTTTTGGCGTTTTGGCCTATATACCATCATATAAAACTTATTTAAAGCAAGAAAATATTCTTAAATTATAAGAATTTTTGAGGGAGATAATTTTTTAGTGATACAAGTCTTACTGATTAACCCATAGCTGTGGGGAGAAGAGGCGGATTCATACCGTTCCCAAGGTTGTTTGCACGTAAGTAAATATAATGAACCTAACTAAAACTAGAAATCGACTCTCCGATTAACAATTCCAAGCTACCATCCATTAAACCACCCGAACATCTAAGTACACATCATCTGGTATTCCCAAGAGGTACTGTCCGGGTTCGATGTTGCTGAACTTCGGTGATAGATTTTCAGTGTGGCTAGTTTTATACTTCTTCAATATTTAGATTAATATCGGCTCCTAGTAACTGTGTAGAAAAACAAATTTAAATACAGGAAATCTGCAAACGCAGGTTCTACTATTAACGATACTGAAGCTACTAAATTCTGCTAGATGAGATTTTGAAATCAATAAGTCTTTGCACAAGAGAAAACGCAAGGTATTTTATGAAATCATGAAAGAATGTTCAGAACTGTTTAAATAAACACGATCTAAATTCCTTACGCTTTGATTTCAAGCTAAATATCCCATCCCCCAATTGGCCAACTGAAGATACATTCTAATCTAAACAACTCCGGTTGTTCGTCTTTGCTATATAATCTGCCATGTCTGGAAAAATTCAAATCTACACCTGGCCGGAGATACATGGTAAGTATGATGTTAATGAAATATTAAGCTGTGTATTTCGTTATATCAACACATCTGTTCTAGAAACTGTGAGAAACTCTTTGTTTTCACAGATGGCTGTAGGGGGGCATGAGCAAAACCAAATGACGGTGCAGTTTTTCTAGTCATCAATGGTTGTTTCGAACGGGTGGTTCAAAGACTCCCAGTGAGAGGAGAACTGCTATTTGCCATTTCACAGAGAGTTTGAGCCGATAGATCAAAGAAGAGTTAATGGTGGTTGATAACTGAGAGATTTGCGGTGAACTCAAAGAGTTTCTTGTATCCATTTTTAGGGCTTCTTCCAGGAATCCACGATCAAAGATTAAAATTTTTCAGTCCCCAAATTCAAAACTGTTTTTGTTGTGAGCAAATTAATAAAGTGTCATATCGACATTGTCAGTTTTGATTTATGATGCAGAGGAAAGTACTACAATCTTCAACCATAATTAACATTTTTAATCAGATATTAAAATCAGGCGTTATATTTTTAATCTAAATATGCATAACGAGAGACTTTAAACGTTCGTTCAAGCCACTCCAGGTTTTAAAACAAACACATATACAGTGCACAATGGGTAAATTTTCGCCATTTTATATTTTTAATTTCGCGCATGCGCGTTTTTTATTTTTTTTATTTTGTCGACTGCACAGTATAATGGGTCTGTTGGACACCGACTGTCAGAAAAAATTTACCATGACGCAATTCACTCCGCCATAAATTTGGAAATGGCATGCTGTACTGCTTGGCATTTCCGTTGGAAGCTCTAATACGAACATTTCAGGCGGTTTGGGTATCAATCTGTGGACATTGAAGAAGATTCAGAAAGAGTTAGATTCTAGAAAACGGAAACTTTAGTGAGTTTCTTTAAGTCATGGACATATGAATATTTCTCTCGCTGTCTCACTTACACAGAAATATATATATATATATATATATATATATATATATATATATATATATATATATATATATATGTTGCATAGAATTATGTGCTTTTTGTGGATCACTTTTAATATTTTATATTATTAGGATTCACTTGGATTACATACCCACGGATTATTACCTGTATATATATATATATATATATATATATATATATATATATATATATATGTGTGTGTGTGTGTGTGTGTGTCTGTGTGTGTGTGTGTGTTTTCTGCGTCTTTATTATGAGGAGTGCATTTTCATTCTCTCTTCCAATTATTATATGAGTGTTAATGTGTATGTTAAGGTGTCTGACTACCCGATAAACCCCTAACAATAATGAATATTGAAAGCTTGTAAACAGGCCTTGAAGGTAGTGAAGCCTTGAGACATTCAAGGTTTTGGAAAACCCACCCATCTTTTCCTGCAACCTTATAAGAGTCCATCATTTCCACACATGAACTTTTTTTCGCGCCTAATTCTTTTCAATCTACGCACCATTTATGAAACACCGTTCATTATTGACTCGTCAAATTGCCGCCAACCCGGAAACGGCGGAGGAGTGGCTCGTAAAAGCCGGTATAATTTGTAATTTTCCTACAATTACTGAAGCTGATTAAAATTCATAAGAACTCCCGAGGAACATTGCAACAAATGGCTTTTTACATTTGAAACGAAAAAGGAAAAATAACATAATGCTAGTGATCATAATACAAGGGAAGGCTGCTTGAAGAAATTTTAGCGCTGTAAAAATGAGCATTAATTTTATTGTTATTATTATTATTAATATTATTATTATTTATTTATTTATTTCTCTTGTATATTATGTGTTTCAGCATCTCACAATTGTTTATATACAACTGTTAATATGTCATTATTCATATAAATTTCATAATTATTGCTATTATTAATTAGGATTGATTAATATTTTCCAGGATCCTAATCAATAATCCTCATATTTTTATTATGTAATATGATGGAAAATCAATACTATGTAATTAAGATCATTGATATTACCATTACCGACATCATTATTACTACGATAACAAATAATTCAGTTGCTCCTTTGGTTACGGTCCTGAATCCTGCTTAGAGCAGCGGAGTAACCAGTTCAAAAAGAGACACCTGTGTTGCTATGCTTATGTCTACCTTTTGGCTCGCGTTCAAACCACGTCCATGTTTTTTTTTTGACTCTAGGGCAAACCGGACCATTGTCTATTTTTTTTTTTTTTTTTTTTTACTCTGGTGCAAACCGGACCTATTTTGAATGGACCTATTTTGAATGTTTTTAACTCGATTCATAATTGACTTAACAGAAAAAAAATTGCAATAGGCTACCATTATTTTAAGCGGTAGACTTGTTGCTAACCACGGCAATAGGCTACCGTTATTTTAAGCGGTAGACTTGTTGCTAACCACGGCAATAGGCTACCATTATTTTAAGCGGTAGACTTGTTGCTAACCACGGCAATAGGCTACCATTATTTTAAGCGGTAGACTTGTTGGCAATAACCGTTATTTTAAGGGTAACTTGTTGCTAACCATTATTTTTTAAGCGGTAGACTTGTTGCTAACCACGGCAATAGGCTACCATTACTTTAAGCGGTAGACTTGTTGCTAACCACGGCAATAGGCTACCATTATTTTAATCCGTAGACTTGTTGCTATCCATGGTTGCGCTACTGAAGAAGAGAGTGAATCTGTGGCCAGCAGGGTGGGTCACACCCAAATAGACGTGCAAGCATTCACGCATCGATTGCGCCATAAGACGTCATCGACTAACGCTTACGCAGCAGCTGTAGCCTGGGTGGAGTCATTACGGGTGCCGAGTGGACTTCGGGATTTGCGGTGGGGCGCGTATTCTTTTGAGCACGGGCCGGGCAAACGCAACCGGCATTGTGGTGGGTGGTGTCAGCCGGATACGAAACTGAGCAGGTGTGACTCTCGAGAAACTCCGAACGAGAGAATATGCATTGTGCTTGATTGGGAAGCTCTCCTAGCTGAACGGTAACATCAAGCCGGATCAGACGGAGATTTCTCACCTTTTTAAAGTTTTCTCGAGGGCGCAAGCCGGTAGATGAAATAACCAAGTTCACACAATCTCGTTTGAAGTTATTTGCGAAAGCTAGAAACCTTTCTATAGCTGCATAGTTTACGCCAGGCCAAACTAACTAAGCTTTTGAATGTGTCATTCTGTTAGACTACGGCGAGAAATCCCAGTCTGCCTTACTATTTAACCAATTACTGCGGGTAGAGAAGCGATGGACTCATCCCTTTCCCAAGGATATTTGTGAAAATGTAACGGAATTCGAACGCGATTCGCCGAATTCTCGTTACATTACACAGACCGGCAAGTAGTTTAAACTGAGAGCAACTTAGTAGAGAATAAATTCAAAAGTGAATCTGGAGTTATTCTCACTATAATAGAAAATGTGAGTTTCGCTTGGAAATAAGAGAGGAGTCTAATCTTCAGCCAGAACAAACACTAATGCTATGTCCATGGCGTAGGCGGAGAAATCGGAGAGGTGAATTTGAATTACAGTCATGTTCCTCACAATTGCTGCAATATTGATATAAGCACAGCAGTAATGCTTAGAAAAAAAAAAAAAAAAAACACGTAATCTGAGAAGTTGCAGAATTATGAAAACAGGAGCAATAAAAGTGACAGAAAATAATTTTTCCTCAGCGATTGTCCTAATTACAATCTTTCTAATTGACAATTATAAAAATAATTACTAAAATAATTGGCTCTAATATAATTTCTTTCGTCATACACGATTCTTTATGTTGTACAGTTATATTCGTTGCGTTTTCGGCCATTCTTTTATTTTACAATAATGACTTTTGTGTAAAAGTCAGAAAGAAAGAAAGGGAAATTTATTGTTTTTAAATTATTTTGTTCATTATTTATATGACGGGTTTAATGAAAGTATTTTTAAACTGGGGAGATATTTTAATAATTGGAAGTAGTTTTTTGGTTAAATATTCTCAAATGAAAAGTAAAATAAACGAATAAGAAGTAATATATTTCTGATGAAAAATTGAGGACAATTTGAAATATCAAATATATATATAAATAAATAAATACTTTCATAAAATAAAACATTATAATTTTTAATTTGAAACTTTTTCTATATATACATATTAAGAAAGTATACGTGGCTTCTCATTATGCTATTTGGACCCTACTTAAACGGCAAAAATCTCCACGATAGAAGAAAACTAGAAAAATTTTCTACAAACTGGCACAGACACACTCGGATATTATATTTCTCGGACTTTGCAAGAAAATGGACTTAATACCAAAAGGATTCCGATTTAAATACAATTTCCAACATAGTTTTATTACATTGCAAAAACAAAAGCCCAACATATATACAACAGAACCTCCACGCAATTAAGAAATCTTGCGCACAACACTGCTTACATTAAAAATCTTTTACATGAACTTATCTAAAAAAAAATCAGTTATTCTCTCTACCTAACACTTTCTCCGTTTCAATATTCTCAAGTAAAAAAGCACTCAATTTCCTGTACCAAAAAAAACTGACACAGTGTATATTTTGAAAAAACCAAAAACTCAATAAACTAATTGCTGAGGACCCCATTTTACAACACATAACTTACCTGAAAGATTATTTAATACAACAGATCCCACGAAGATCTCATTATGTTCACTACACCAATACTACCTTCTGCTGACAACCACATCGCTAACCTATCTAAATACACTCTCACCCAAGGATAAACCTCTTTATTAAATAAAGGATTATCATTCTGCCCCTCACAACCACTAAAACCTCTAAACCTTTGCTACGATATGGAAAAATACCTTCGTAGACTGAGATAAAAGAATATTTCTCAGACAACAAACCTACTTCTAATACAGACAACAGCGCTAACCAATCATGCTCCAAACTTCCTCCGACGAAGAACAATATATGGATCCCACCAAGCGGACGTAACCAACACTTGGATCAATATGCCCACAAAGCCAGACAACACATGGATAACTTCTTAAAAAACAAAGGACACCAGATAAAAAATACAACTTATCCAAAATAGAACACCAAGCCATCTATACTCTTAAAAACAACCGAGACATAATTATCGTACCAGCCAACAAGGGCGGAGCTATAACCATCTTAGACAGTAACCACTACATTAAAGAAGCAGAATCACAACTTCAAAATAACAGATTCTATGTACCCTTACCTCTAGACCCAACTAGCACATTCAAAAACAGAATTATCACTTCTCACTCAGAACCTGAACTACAACATAAAAATACCATAAAACCTCTTATTCCTGAGAACCCTAAAACAGCAACATTCTACACTATCCCAAAACTACATAAACTCCCCAAAATCATTTCAGAAAAACACCCTAACACTTTTTCATCCGACCCACATCAAATTACACAATCAAATAATGAAGAGAACATCTATGAAATTTCAAAAACCCTTAAAATCATGCCACCTGGTAGACCCATAATATCAGGCATTGGCACCCTCACAGAACTTATATCTGGGTACATAGACAATATCCTAAAACCTTTATTGCCTGACATACCTAGTTATATTAGAGACACTACTGACTTTCTCAGCTAATTACAAAACATTAACTTAGTCCACCATGATACAATCCTAGTAACGATGGATGTTTCGTCCCTTTACACGAACATTCCACATGTTGAAGGAGTATCAGCTTGCTATGAGTTCATAGTAACAAAAAATTACCTAACTACCAAATTACAGATATATGCCAATTAATAAAGTTCATCTTAACACATAATAATTTTAAATACAACAACAAACACTATTTACAGATTAGTGGCACAGCAATGGGCACAAAAAATGGCACCTAGTTATGCTAATATCTTTATGCACATTCTAGAAAAGAAGATACTAGACAATTCGGAATATAAACCATCACATTACTTTAGATATATTGATGACATTTTCTTATTATGGACTCATGGATCAGAAAAATTAAAAACCTTTTTCACTTTCTGCAACAATTTCCACGATACAATTAAATTTACCATGGAGCACTCATACACATCCATCCCTTTCTTAGACGTTATGATAAAATTAAACAAACATACACTTTCTACCAGTCTATACAACAAACCCACAAACCAACATAAATTCCTGCACTTTAACAGCTGTCATCCCTTTAAATTAAAAAAAATCTATTGTATACAGCTCATTTCTTAGAACCAAACGCATATGCTCAGACCATTTAGATTTTCTATACAATATTAATAACTTAACAAAACAATTCCTAAAATGCAAATACCCAATAAAAATAATAAAAGAAGCACTAAATAAAACTATCCTGATAAATCGTAACACACTTCTCACATACAAGAAAAATAAAAACAACAATCGGATTCCCATGGTTTTTAACCACAATCAATATTCCCACACACTTATTCATAATTTAAAAAATGATTACAAGAACCTCCAATTAGACAACAAGATCAAAGACATTTTCGATAAACCACCCATAAATGCAATGAAACAATCACCTAACTTATCAGCTATCCTCACCTCTACCAAATATCTAAACAATAGAAACCAAACAGGAAATTACAAATGTAACAAACCTCGTTGCTTAGTTTGCAAACATTTAGTAATAGCTAATACATTTTACGTACCCAACACCAATATCAGGATACAGCCACCTAACCTCACCTGCGATACCCATAACGTAATCTATTATTTATTCTGCAACTTATGTCCTAATAGTGGATATATTGGTGAGTCTGGAAACAATTTTAGATTTCGTTTTAATAACCATAAACAAACAATACGTCAAAACAACCCTTATTCCCCCATAGCTAAACACTACAATCAATCAGGACACATTAGAAAAACTGCAAATGTTTATTAATAGATTCCGATTTTACTTCCACATTCACACGCAGAAAAAAAAAAAACATATTGGATTTTAAAATTAAATACACATAAATTAGGGTTGAATAGGGACTTAGGTGTTTTAAATCTTTATAAATATTTCAATAGCTAAGCAATTTCTTTAGATATAGTAAAAAAATATTTTTAAAAATATTTATGACAGTTAGATTTAAGTTAGGAATATCTGAACAGTGACGTTCCATATCACGTGACGTCCGCGTCTCGCGAAGGACGCTACTTGCCAACAAACAGTAATTTTAATTTATTTGTAACAAACAGTTATTTCTGATGAAAAATTGAGGACAATTTGAAATATCAAATATATATATAAATAAATAAATACTTTCATAAAATAAAACATTATAATTTTTAATTTGAAACTTTTTCTATATATATATATATATATATATATAGAGAGAGAGAGAGAGAGAGACTGCTATTTTCAATTATTTCATTTGGTAAAAATATTTCATGCAGTAACATAAACGCATATGAAGCAATATATATACTTTAAACATCAGGAGGTCAATTAAAATACGTGACCACGGCTTCGACCTGACGGTCTCTTCGGGCGATACTTTTAAAATGACCACTTTAACTCTTTATTTAAAAAAAAAACAAAAACAAAGAACGCTACATAATTATCTTTCAATTGGATATACAGTGTAACCCGGATATAAGAGACCCGGATATAAGAGAAACCCGGATATAAGAGCCTGTGTTAATGTATATATAATAGACCAAACAAGAGAAACCCGGATATAAGAGACTTCTCCGGTCCCGACAACTCTCTTATATCCGGGTTACATATATATATATATATATATATATATATATATATATATATATTGCTTCTTATTTTACTTTTCCTATGAAAATATTTAACAAAAAACAACTTGTTAAGAAATGGACGAGGTCCGACAATTTATTTATTAAAGACATTTTTATTTATGTTTAACGTTGTTATTTTTATAGATACAAGTATTTAA